ACACTACTAAATGAAAGACTTTTACCTACAAACTTTTACCTGGGAAAAGTCTGTCGCTAAAGGGTGATTTGTCACAAACCGTCACAAAAGTTGATGGGTAAATTGTTGGTGGTTCAAATCAGTGAAAGATTACCCATTGTGGGTGATCAATTAGTATTTTCTTGAAAACATTGACTTTACCCAACTAACGGTATTTTCTGTGTGAAGACAGAAATTTCACTGGGTGATTTTTGTGGGTAAAATTCATTTGTTTTGTGGTGATAGGATTTAATATATAAGACCCAAAAATAAAGTGTGCTACCTGARATCGTTGTAATAAGTATTTATGAYATTTTGGGTGTCATAACAAGTTTGTATGACACTTTTATAAAAGAACATCATATTAGCAGTTTTACATAATATTATTTGAAAAAGTACCTTATAAAAACAAATGTCCTATAAAAATATAGGTTTATAGGACACTTTCACAAAAGTATCCTATAAAATAGACAATGTGACGCTTTGTATTTAAAATGTCCTAAAAAACTCGTTAAGATGCCCAAGTTTCCTATAAATTTATTAGTTAGCCTTTAGATATAACGCTTTTGTTTTTGTTCCTAYAAAAGTCTTATAAAATTAAGTCTATTGGGACGCTTAGAAGTTGGTGGCAAGCTATAACCCAATTTTGTTGTAGTGAATTGTGCAAATTGTAAGTAATTTGTATTATCTATCTACACATACATAAGACTTCTTTAGTTTTTTGACATTCACTTTCTTCTTAGGGTTCGGGAAAACTTAAAGGCCTTGTTCTTGACATAAGAATGCTTGAGAAAGAGGACATATGTGAATCATTTGGGTTGGAAATAGATGCATTGTGTAAGATGGATAATCTAATGCTACTACAACTCAATTATGTGAAATYCAATGGATCTTATAAGAATTTCCCTAAAAAATTAAGATGGTTGTGTATGCATGGGTTCCCTTTAAAGTCTTTACCTTTAGACATACCAATGGAGAATATGGTTGTGCTTGACATGTCTTACAGCAATTTGGAATCTTTTGACATGTNAATGAGCTTTGACTCTATGCCATCTAACAATGATAAGGAATTGTTTAAGCATATTGCTTGTTTTTTTGTTGGAGAAGATAGAAACTACATTGAAACAATATTGAAGGCGTGTAGTATTCGCACACTACATGGGATCACAAATCTCATTGATAGATGTCTTCTTACGATCGGACCAAGTAATGAGTTAAAGATGCATCCGTTGCTTCAAGAGATGGGAAGAGATGTAGTACGCCAAGAATCACCAAACAAGCCATGGAAGCGTAGTCGATTATGGTGTCATGAGGAATCATTCAATGTGTTGGAACAAAACAAGGTAACATGCCATTCATACTTGTCATCGTCACTACAGCAAAATTAGCTTTATAGAACACCAACAACTTCTAAGCGTCTTATTAGACTGCTTTATGCACTACTAAATGAAAGACTTTTACCTACAAACTTTTACGTGGAAAAGTCTGTCGCTAAAGGGTGATTTGTCACAAACCGTCACAAAATTTGATGGATAAATTGTTGGTGGTTCAAATCAGTGAAAAATTACCCAGTGTGGGTGATCAATTGGTATTTTCTCGAAAACATTGACTTTACCGAACTATCGGTATTTTATGGGTGAAGACGGAAATTTTACAGGGTGATTTTTGTGGGTAAAATTCATTTGTTTTGGTGGTGATAGGATTTAATATATAAGACCCAAAATAAAGTGTGCTACCTAAAATCRTTGTAATAAGTATTTATGACATTTTGGGTGTCATAACAAGTTTTTATGACACTTTTATAAAAGAACATCATATTAGCAGTTTTATAGAACATTATTTAAAAAAGTACTTTATAAAAACAAATGTGCTATAAAAATATGGGTTTATAGGACACTTTCACAAAAGTATCCTATAAAATAGTTAATGTGACGCTTTGTATTTAAAATGTCCTAAAAAAAACTCGTTAAGATGCCCAAAAGTTTCCTACAAATTTATTACAACGCCTTTAAATAGAATGTTTTTGTTTCTATAAAAGTCTTATAAAATCAAGTCTATTGGACGCTTAGAAGTTGGTGGCGAGCTATAACCCAATTTTGTTGTAAGTAATTTGTATTATCTATCTACACATACATGAGACTTCTTTAGTTTTTTGACATTCACTTTCTTCTTAGGGTTCTGGAAAACTTAAAGGCCTCGTTCTTGACATGGAAATGCTTGAGAAAGAGGACACGTGTGAATCGTTTGAGTTGGAAACAGATGCATTGAGTAAGATGTATAATCTAATGCTACTACAACTCAATTATGTGAAATTCAATGGATCTTATAAGAATTTCCCTAAAAAATTAAGATGGTTGTGCATGCATGGGTTCCCTTTAAAGTCTTTACCTTTAGACTTACCAATGGAGAATATGGTTGTGCTCGACATGTCTTACAGCAATTTGGAATCTTTTGACATGTCTGATGGTAACCCACAACAACCTAGGAAGAGGCAAAAGGTAAGAAACTTCTAGCAATCACTTTAATTTTTATTATTCATATATGTTGGGTTAYTGCAATTCACTTAACATCCACCTTATCTCCATTTGTACAGTTAAGTGGCTCATGCTCAAAAGGCAAACAGTTGCTTCGATCATTGAAGATTCTTAATCTGAGTTTCTGTGACCAGCTTTGGAGTGTTGGTGGATTTTCTGAATTCCCYGCACTTGAGAGGTTAATACTTTCAAATTGCTCAAGTTTGATTGAGGTTTGTGAGTCAATTGAGCAWTRTGATGGACTTGACCTCATTGATCTGAGTTACTGCAATAAGGCTGGGAAGCTTTTAAGAACGATAAACAAGGTGAAGAACGTCAAAATACTAAAATTAGATGGTTGTAATAGCGGTGAAACTACGATCGAGATGAGGGATGACGTGGAGGAAACGCTCAACTGTAACAACATTGGAATGAACTCACAAACSTCTTCATCTGCCATTGTGGAGGCTATACCAAGAGCTTTCGAGTCCTATATGATTTTTCTACCGAGTTCATTAGTATGTTTGTCACTAGCAAATAATAATTTGTCCAACGAATCCTTTCCGATGGACATGAGTAGCATATCCATGTTGAAGGAGTTGTATTTAGATGGCAATCTTTTTGTTTCACTGCCAAATTGGGTGAGAAGCCTTTCCAGGCTTGAGATACTTGGTATTGGTGGGAATGATAGACTGATGTCATTGGAGCATCCTCCACCTACACTAAAAAAATTAATATTTGGTTTTAATAGAGATTCTGTAAAATTGAAAGCTACATTTGATAGAGAAATGTCCCCAATCCTGTTATACCATAGTATTATCTACCCATTTTCGGAGGGGAATATTGAAGGCATGGTTAAAGAGGAAGATATGAGAGATGTTGAGGAAAAGGTATTACGTAGTTTGGGGTGGAGTCATTTAGTTAATTTAGACTTCAMCAAAATTCAGCCGAGAAATCATCGAGGTGTAAAAAGAARAGTCAAGGTTTGTTCTCATTAACTATTTTTGTTTGTGTGATTAATATGTAGATATAATAAATGAAGCTTTTATTTGGCAGATGGTTTATGAATTTGGGATATTCAGCACATGGTATGTGGGGAAAGAGATGCCAAATTGCGTAAGTGATAGAAGGTGGGAGGGGTCATCAATCTCATTTACCATCCCATCATCTCCTTGCAATCTTAGAGGCTTGAATTTCCTCTGCGTGTTTATACCTAAAGAGTTCATAACAAGTGAGGGAGAGTTCTTTGCTTATATTTCAAGTATAAGGATTAGTAATATAACAAAGATGTGCAGCTGGATCTATGATGTTCAAAGGTTGTTTAAAGGAAGTAGAGAGGGTATAACATTTTCTAGCCATTGGATGTTTGGGAAGAATGAGATGGAAGATGGTGATCAAATTACTATTTTCCTATTAGACGATGAAGATGATATTTTAAAGGAGTGTGGGGTGAGTTTTGTGTATGATGAAGATGAAGATGAAGATGAAGAAGTGTTGGGTTATTACAAGTCATGGAATCATATAATTGGTGGGGATCTCTCTCCTTTTCTATATACTACTCCCGGAGAATATTACCTACAACGATTCCGCTTTATGAGTGGATTTCCATGGCATGATAATAGTTTCGACGGTATGTGGTATATTTRTTAAATGTTTGTCATGATATGATATGATATGAGTAGGTAGTAGGTAGTGGAATAACTAGTTCCTAATTAAAACAACAATTACTTTTCACATCAACAGCTAAGCTATGAGCTATATTAATTACTTTTTATTATCTATTTTTATTTTTCAGATATGCATCCTCGGTTTAGAGCTTTCCGTCCAACCAAGTGAACCAACTACCTAAGCTATATACATAAGGTACGATACTTTCTATTTCATTTCCAAACACCTTCAATTATATATATATAGTTGGATTCATGTGAGACCAAAGGTTTTTTGTGAGACCCGTAAAACCAATTTATGTTCATTGATCAACTTTATAAGCTAATGATCTAATGGTCTAAAGTTGCATGGTGGCAATTTTGTGATTATTGAGAAGTCTCATGACAATTTTATGATTATGAATGTTCAGATTGTAGATCTAATCCAAGGGTTGAGAATTGTTCTTACGGATCTTGCGAAAAACCCTTGGTCTTGTATGATCTCAAGTCTCTCTGCTAATTCATGTTTTCAGCAAACTTTTTGGTCTCATTATCATTTAATATTGTAATAAAAAGATGTAGTTGAAACACTTTTATTTTTAAAATTTCTTTATGTGTTTTCATTTATATATAACCAGAAAAGGATATCTACTTATTTATTTGTTTATTATTATATCTAACATCATATCATGGACATTTAAACATACAAATAATTCTCAAAAGTTTATATATATAGAGAGAGAGGAGCATTCAAATAAAAACCACCCAATTTATACAAACCATGAAAACCACATTCAATCAATCATGTAATTATCA